TACCGCGCGACGCGCCGGTTCAAGCGCCTCGATCGTTTTCAATTACGATTCAGCCCTTGCACGACTTTCCTTGGCAGCATGCGATGCCTATCGCTCGAGCCCGATCAACGTCCGACTGCCGTGCCGGTCACCGGTGGTCAACGTTACAGTGATTCGCTGGAGTTTCTGATTCAAATCAATTGTTGCATTTAAAAAGCCTTATATATTAATAAATGTTGTGGTGTAGATTGATAAATCTTGGGAAGATTAATGTGCAAATACAAGCATTATAACTCAAGTTAACTTTCAGGTACTAAATACTGATTTTATGATATAGATAAGATGTGAAATATAATATCCACACTTTCAAACGAAAAAACTAGGAAGCTACTGAAATTGTTCTTTGTTTAAAATTATAGAAAGGTGTAGAAATTTTAAGTGTACGTATTTAATAAACATTTTATATTTAATTTCATATTTAAGGCAATACTTAAGGGGCTGGTAAGGGAGGAGAGAGAGTGTGAGCGAAAGAGAGGGGAGAGAGAGAGAGAGAGATCCTTGCCAAAAAAATATATAAATTTATAAAGAAATAGATAATTATTATGATTAATAACCTAGAAATGACTTTAACCTACAACAAAGTCGAAACAGGTATTTTTACCTGACCAGCCAGGTTAAGTGTTATAAAATGATAATGGACAACTAATATTCAAGTTATGTTAAAAATAAAGAAATGACATTTAGATTTGTCGAATTCAATTTAAAATTTCCATCGTGTGTCTGACACGTTATTATAAGGCAAAGAGTTAATAAATTATGGTTTTCGGGATTACTTGTTAGTTCAAAATTCTAGTTGTAATAACCATTGAAAAATGTACGAAGAAATCTCTCAATAATGATTAATTTTTAAAAGATCAGCGAGTATAGTATTAAAATTGATCGTCGAGACGGTGCTCAACCTCGTCTGTTCTAGCTGCGAGCGGCACAATGAACGTCACGAGAATAGAACAATGGCGGGGGTTCGACACGACACGCATTTGGCTCGTGTACGTAAATGAACTTGTCCACGGAAGTGGTGAACGAACCACTAGAATCGACATCAGCACATATGGTCGATCACGACACACGCACATGGCGCACATGGGGTGCCGAGCGACACAATCCCGTAAACAATTGTTTCCTCTTTATTTTTTCTCCATCCTGTGGTACTTTTAGAAACCATTTTAAGCTCCTAGCAAACGATAACAGAAGGGGGTGAGATTAAACACGATGGTATGAGATTTGCCAGCATGTTTTTCTACAAATACTTTCTCTCTATTAATTAAAACAATTCGAATTTCTACTAATTATTTTGTATAATAATATTACTTTATTTCTATAAGCATTTTTTCATTAATTTCTAATGGTTACAAGAAATGTAAAATATATAAAGGTCAAGAACATCGACAACACTCTTATTCCTACATTCTAACTACAAATTTAAAAACCTAATTTCACTTCCCTCTTTTTTATTTTAATCTTCTCAAGTAACCTTTTTTGCCTTGAAGATATTCTAAAATACCCTTATTAACATTCTATTATGAATCAGATGTATTTAGATCTTATTTCATTCAATTTAAGTTAACCTAAAATGTCACTGTATAATTCAAACCAAACAGGTCAGATTGAAAATACCACTCACAATATTGCCCGTGGAAACAAGAGAATTGTCCGTCGTGAAAAACATTCTCGAGGTCGCTGAGCGCGCGGACACATTTATGTAGTGCAACAAAGTTCCATTATGCCGGTTTTTATAACGATGTGCCAATGCGCAGGTGGGGAAAGAAACGAAGAGAGGAGTGGAAGGTTGAAGAGGTCAGCGAAGCGTGCCAGCGAGCATCCGCTTCCGCAGGATGTACGATTGTCATTTTCTTTTTTAGGCTTCGACCGCGCCGGACCGTCGCGATTCATCCAGAATTAATTTTCCGAATTAAGAGGAAATGAACGGTTCTCGATAACCGGGACGAGCGACCCAAATATGTTAAATACTGGAGATGATAGCATCCACGGCGCATATATTGCACGGATGCATTATGATCGTCAAATTATATGGAAATTCAGAATTTTAAATATTAATCTGCAGGAATAAAAGTTAATTTGAAAAATTTAAATCGTGAGAATTGATAATTAGTGTCCTTATTATTTCACTGTGCTATAATTTCTTATAATTTTTATAATAGAAACTTATAATTTCATTATGAATTTTAAACTTTTTATTAAATCTGGTTTATTAAGCTTCGCGAATTATGATAGGCGAAACTGTAAATATATAAATGTATATAATCTACTAATTATTCTTTATTATATTATTCTTGATTTTAAGAAAAATGATATTTCTTTTTGTAGAGAGATTTCTTGAATTGTTTGAAACAAAATAAATGTATTAGTTTGTGAAAATACCATCGTTAAACATGAAACATTCGAAATGAAATTTATCGTTTTGTCTTTGAAGAAGGACAATTCGCGTTACTGCGAAGATCAGCAGATTGCGAAGCGATACGCGCGATCGAATTTCATCAAGAATACATCGCGTAGGCTTATCGCCGTAATTCTAGATGTATACCATCTAATTAGACGGGTAACAAAATACTTGACGCTCTGCGAAGATTCACTGTTTGTTTGCATGTCACAAGTCTCTTTCGATTCTCTCCAAATGCGACGTCATAATCGCGAATTCTTGGAGATGTTAATTTCTAATTATTCCGTTGAGGATTAAGGTGTCTAGCGCATTCAAAATTGATTATCCATTCAACCAGATAAGGCTAAATAATTGTTCAGAACCCTGTAGATAAGCCTGCGATAAGATACCATTCTGATGAAATTACGAATTTCGTTCTGCAACCAATTTCTGCAACTCAACTCATTAAATTTGATTAACCCGAAAAATAAAAAATCTAATCAATGATCTCAAAACAAATAAATTATTAAAACATCTATTGCGTCGGCTCATTTCACAGTTCCACGCGATATTTTCATTACACAAGAATACATTCGTAACTCCTATTTACTCCAAAACTCTCAAATTAACCCAACGAACAATTCAAAACCTCGCAAACCAACCTCACGATTATTAACCCTTCTCGATCCATAATTTCCTATTAACAGTCTGCGGCCTGTGTTAAACTTCTAATGTTGCTTTTCATAAAAAACTAAATTATACATCGAAGTCTTAAATATTAAAAAAGAAACCACATGTCACTCTCATTAATTGAATAATTAAATTATTCCTTCGCCGTTTTCGATTTTACATATCGTAGCTCGACCGCAAAGGGCTGAAACATCCGCGCAAAGAATCGAACCGCATCGGCGTCAACGCACGAATCACTGTTCAAAGTGATACTTCCCATGCCAACCGTCTAACTCATAACTATTTTAATTGCGCCCAATCACAGCGGGGAAACGTCTCCATAAACAAGAACGGAAAAAGGAAGACATTCGAAATAAAAAACCAGCTACAACCGCGCGCCTGCAGCTCCACGATTTTTCATTAATTTC